ATCATTGGAGTCCTCTCCAGCCCGGTTGTCGCCAGACACCCTGATTTGTTGATCTCTCAACAGCGAATCGTTATCGCGCCTTGGCCCTGGCTAATTAACCGTTGGTTTTCTCATTCATCCGCCTGCTTCCCATGTGGGGGCACCCACCTTCGCCACTTACAATATGGCTGCATCCTTACATGACGGCGCAGCAGGATACTTCAATCCCGGCGTCCTGTTTGCTTGGCCCTGTCCCAAACTTGACGCCGTGTGTGATCTTCTTGATTACCCGCATCTGGTTGCGGTCGTAGAGCCCGTATAAATCGTGCGTCGGACACGGACGGTGTTCCGCCTTTTGTAGCCGAAGGGGCTGCTTCGCAATGCCGTTGCCAAATTGTCCACATGTTGTGTAGCCCATACCCGGACCGCAGGGGACAGCGACTTGGCCCCAGATGCATTTACACTTGACGTGTTGGTAGATGAAGACCTCGCACATTTTTCTTGCTTGTTGCTGAATTCGGCGTACGAGTCAAAGGCTTTTTTATTTTTATTTTGAAGGAAATAAACTCTTCGGTTGCCGGCTCGATTTGGTTGTGCAGGGAAAGGCGAGGAGGGGGTGAGTGGAAGTGACAAGGTTCTAATTCGATTTTGGCCTGGCCGAGTGTCACAAAACCCATACACAAACTCACGCCGCTGCCAGCGCCGCTCATCAGGTACCGTGCCGTATTGCTGTTCCATGAATGTTTTCTAAGCGTATCGACAGTGCAGGGTGCCAAATCTCAGCCCAGAACCTAAATCAACACACCTACGCAAAGTCAAGTTGACACGCTATTTCGGTGACTGAGTCAAAGACATGTCGCCATCACGAAGAGTGCCGCTCCCTCCGGTGCCAAAGTTGTTGTCAGAGTAGTCCCCTGATTCCACCAATCGTGCCAAGAGATTTTCAATCCTCTGCGTCGTCAGTTCGAGCGCCTCAAGCCTGCTGCCAACGTCATGCATATCCTCGCTACCTGTAAAAGACCCGCGCAACTTGGACGAGACACCCGGGAACATAGAATCTCTCCTATGAGGTGACTTTTTCCGCATCGTGGCGTCCGTAATGGTCCTTGTGAATTGCCGCCGGATCAGGTGGTGGGTGAGCTCGTCGTCCACTGCAATCTCCTCCTCTACGGACTCGGGTGGCGGCAGGTCAAACACGGCCCTGATGTCGCGATGGGCTGTTATACGCCACTTTTCCCAGAACCACTGCTTGACCCTCGGGTACAAGGTCAGACCATCCGACTTTGGCTTTTCTGGCTGCGGCGGCGGCCAAAGAAGTCTGCGTTCGGCCACGGCGATGATGAGTAGAAGCGGAAGGTTGACCAGCCTGACGCTCGCTACATGTATCTTATGGAACCACCGCGGAGTAAAGATGAATTTGAGAGGGATGAGAACGAACACGGCCAGAATGTTGAAGGGAGGTGGGTATGCGAAGATTGCATCGCCCTTTACCCCCTCCAGTGTCAAGACGGCCTTGCGGAATTGGATTTCAGCAGTTGCGTTCTTAACAATGGTGCTGAAGGTATTGGACAGCATCGATACAAGGATGGTGAGGAACAAAGTGTTGCCCAAGAAGGCGAAAGCTACCATCAGTACAGGGCCTAAGATTGGGTGGAACATAACCTGCAAGAGTTCATTAGAGTTAGGAGGACCATACTTGACAGTTCACTGATACGCAGCTTACCGATTCATTGATTCCTGTTCCGTCAAGACCGAACCATATCCACAGCATCCACTTACTGATAGTACTATGACTTCTGTCAGTAATCTTGGGTTGCAGGTTTCTTCCAGGACGGCCTTACACTGGAGGGTGGGTGCCTTCGCCAAGCCATAGGAGAGACAGGAGAAACCCGCCAAAGCACCATGCCGACAAGAACGTCAGGAGAACGAAGTCCGACATCATGGAGCGCAGTGAGAGGAACACGAGGTTGTCCGATAACAAGTTAAAGGCCAACCGCGGGACCAATACTGATGCACCCACTGCGAGTACGTCAAGTGCCTGTTGCTTAGGGACAAGCTCACCAACACGCGCACCATGTATGCGGAGAACCGCATAGACGACATATATGCCGATGAAGCCTACATCAAGGAAAGACCACAGGTTTTGAGTGTACACGTGCCTATAAAAGTCAGCTCCACTGGCATTTTTGAACGAGGTATTGGTGCTCATACCACCCATGCTCCAAAATTGTCGCAAACTGGTCAAGAGACCAACCAAAGGCATATATGGCGAAGCAGCCTTCCAGAACAGTAAATGTTTCTGGTTTGCGTTCGGCCATAACGAAGAGATAAAGAGCGAGTAGAATCAAGAACTGGAAAACCTCTAGAACGTTCCGCGTACGGGGTACAAGAAGCCGGTACTGGTCAAGCAGAGGGCCCTCGCGGGGGTTATAAAGCGATATGGGTTTAAGCTTGTAGTGATCCGGAATGATATCCATGAAGCTGGAAGGGGTGTAAACAATACGGCCTTTGTAAATGGCGTCTACACTGGAGGCTGTTCAGCACTTCCTCAAAACTTTTGTCTGGAAGAGAGATACCTACACTTTCTGGCAGGGGGTGGCACTGAGGAAGTATTTGCTCTCAGTCAAGATGGCAATCTCGAGCGAGGGAAGCATGCGGTTGTAGCTCCTATAGCTCTCCGTTGACGCCGCCTCGCGAATACCGGCTGGGGCCATCTGAAAGGGCTCAAAGCCGGCAACCAGAATGTGTGCGAGGAGCACCAAGCCATCGGGCCCTTCATTGTCTTCGCTGAAGCGTCTTAGGATACGTGTTGCCACCAGCTCACAAAGTGCTGCACGACTGTAGTTGACATTTTGCCGGTTGTTCATGTGAGACTGTTCATACAGAAATTGAGCACGATTGACGAGCAAGCAATAAACTAGCAAGCGAGGGTCAGTGTGAGCACTTCCACCACAGCGTCCCCACCGCCACTTGCAACTGCGGTGCTGATCTTGACTTCTGTGAGGCACAGGATGTAGTTGATTCGGAGAGGTAAGTCTGCACATACCGATAGATATATCGTCGAGGTCATACAACTTGTCAACAAGCGGGCGGACCACAGCGATGTTGATTCTCACATCACGCAGCTGCTCCAAACTCAGGTGATCTTCGACAATGGAGGTGATATCTCGTCGGATGCGGTGGATGTTTGTGTAGACTGGCAAATGGCTGTGAGGGTTGGGCATGCAGCCGTAGAGCGGGACTTGAATGTCGGAGCTGTGGCTAGGGCGGTTCTGTTGCAGGAGCGGTCGTTCTTCCGGGAGCTGGAGGTGCGTCCGCCGGCTGTGTTCCGACATAGTGCAGCCTTGTTGCTATGCCAGTTGTGGAGCTAAGATAGGATAGTTATGCAGGGGGGGGGCGTGATGCGGTATGTGACCAAAGCTAAGGCCTGCGGCCAGCTAAGGCAGTTGATGTGCGGATAGAGGTGATTTTGTACGTAATGTTTGGGCCGAAGGGAGTTTGACAAGAGATGAAGGTGTTTGTGACAAGACCAGGTGAGACCAAAGTCGTCGGGAGTGAACTAGGAAAGGGGTGCCCCCACGCTGGCCACAATCCGGGGTTGCTAGATAACCAAGGAGGGATGTTAACAAATGCGCATGAAACAGCAATGTCAGATGTCCAGTTTCTTGGAGGGATCTGCGGTAGGGTCACGGCGAGACCAGGTGCGTGTCGCTGCCTGGGAAGAAGGAAATAGAGCGACAGAGAAAGAGAAGAGAGTTTGTGGAAGAGAGTAAAGTTGATACAGATATTCGTAGATAGGACAGGATGGACGTGGATCAAGCGGGACAGGGGGCGTTTGGGCTCCACGTCGTGAAGGGACGCTAAATAAGAAGGCCGTCTGTGGTATAATGCAAGCAAGTTCCAAGCCCAACTAGGTGGTCTGGGGTGGGGTAAGGTAATATGCCCAAGGGTATCTGTGAAATCATGTGGAATGCATGTGCTGCTTGAATCGAGGATGCCGGCAGCGGCAGCAGTAGCAGCGACGCGCGACGACACGCTGGACGTCGAGGCTGTCTGTTTGGTAACGGCACGACGGATAATTGGAGCAAAGGTAGGTAGTGAGGGAAAGGGAAAGGGAAGCGGGGGTATTGGTTCGGGAGTCTGGCGACAGAACTGGCTTTCAATCATCGAAATCGATGGACTCTCGTTTTGTTTTGTCTGGTCTGGACTTTCATAAATGACGACATGGACGCCACGCAAATCCCTGTTGTGTTCGGACTGTCCTGTCCTGCCTGAGCTGTGCAAAACTTAGGTTACCCAGAATGCGGCGTACACTACAGCGGCGATGCAGAACCCTACTTCGTACCCTGTGTCCAGGGTCTCCCTCTCGGTGGTTGGGTCATCCAATCATATATCCTGCCACAAGAGAAAGCCATCGATTTAGGCTGCTCTATGCAGCAATTTTCTTCAGCCAAGGAGAAAAGAGCATGGCAGACCTTGCAATTAGCGAACTCAGCATTTTTATCAGACAGAGCTGAGTTGGTGGCCGCCATCACTACCTGCCTACCTACCTTAACTGGCTTCATCCACTGTGCCTCACATCGGTCCCACTTTTAGCATGCGCGAGCCGCCGCTGAGGCACAGCCACGCGCAGTGTCGTCCATTACCTCCCTACTAGTAGTGTCCGAACAGTCCTCCTGTCATCTTGCGGTGAACGAGAGAAACGCCGGAGCGGGAGCATGGACCGGCCCAACAGGCAGGCTGGCTCGTCAACCCACCACCGTTCAGTATCACTTACTTGCTTGCCGCTTGTACGCAAATCTTAGCCGTGGAAAATTCTTATTCTTCTTTCATTTTAGGTCAGGTATGGGGTAAGCTACGAGTTTCATCATCGATGCCTCCATTCATCCATCCGTTGCGTCTTTTCTTTACGCCATGCGTGTCTCATCAGTCTTTGCGTCCTCAGTCCACTTTGAGCGTCCCTAAAGATACTGTTGGGCGCAGGATTTTTTGCACCATCTCGTCATAATGGCTAATTCACTCTACAGGTTGACAGACTTGCGGAAGTTGTCACCGGCGTAGATGGCGTTCTCGCCAAGCTCCTCCTCGATGCGGAGGATCTGGTTGAGCTTGGCAAGACGCTCGGAACGAGCCGGGGCACCAGTCTTGATCTGGCCAGCCCGGATACCGACGACAATGTCCGAGATGGTAACGTCCTCCGTCTCACCGGAGCGGTGAGAGACCATGACGCCCCAGCCGTCGGCGTATGAGTCCTTGGCGGCCTGGATAGACTCGGTAAGGGTACCGATCTGGTTGACCTTAAGGAGCAGGGCGTTAGCAGCCTTCAGCTCAATGGCCTTCTTGATGCGCAGGGGGTTGGTGACGGTCAAGTCATCACCAACGATCTGGATGTCCTGGGACTTGTAGAAGTAACTCCAGGCCTCCCAGTCGTCTTCGGCGAAGGGGTCTTCAATGGAGACAATGGGGTACTTCTTGCAGAGGTCCGAGTACTGCTGAGCAAGCTGCTCGTAGGTAATCCACTTGGTGGGGTCGCTGTCGGGGTTCTTGAAGTCGAGGTCGTACTTCTTGGCGTCCTCCTTGTAGAACTCGCTGGAGGCAACGTCCATGGCGATGTTCATCTTGCCGGTGTAGCCAGCCTGCTCAATGGCGTCGGTGATGAGCTCAAGGGCCTCCTCGGCAGTCTGGATATCGGGGGCAACACCACCCTCGTCGCCGACGTTGCCGGCGGACTGACCATACCGCTTCTTGGCCAGGCCCTTCAGGGCCTGGTAGACCTCAGCACCCTGGCGGAGGGCCTCGGAGAAGGAGGGAGCGGCACTGGACAAGTGTTAGTCGACGTGACGAAGCCTGCAGTGCAGCTCAAAACGAAAACAACTTACGAAGGAACGATCATGAACTCCTGGAAAGCAAGGCGGCCACCAGCGTGGGAACTGTAGGCCCATGTCAGTATGTCTTATCGGGAACGGGCGCGGGACATGCTCACCCTCCGTTGAGGACGTTCATGAAGGGTACGGGCAGGACGTAGGGCTTCTTGGTGCCGGCCAAGTCGGAGACGTGGGCGTAGAGGGGAACACCCTAGGGGCGGTCAGCTTGAGAGGAACTCGAATAATGTATCTCACGGGGGGCTAACCTTCTCAGCAGCACCGGCCTTGGCGACGGCCAAACTGACACCCAGAATGGCGTTGGCTCCGAGCTTGGTCTTGTTGGGGGTACCATCGAGGTCGATGAGGAACTTGTCGACCTTGGTCTGGTCCTTGACGTCAAGGTTCTCCTTGATCAGGGCAGGAGCAATAACGGAGTTGACGTTCTCGACAGCCTTGGTGACACCCTTGCCACCCCACTTGGACTTGTCGCCATCGCGGAGCTCGCAAGCCTCGTGCTGGCCTATGGTGTGGACATCATCAGCCTTGTGTTACTTGTCATCTCTTGACGGGGTTAGGACGACGTACCAGTGGAGGCACCGGAGGGGACAATGGCGCGGTGAAGGCCAGTCTCGGTGACAACGTCAACCTCGACGGTGGGGTTGCCACGAGAGTCGTAAACGTAGCGAGCGTGGATCTTGGTGATGGCCATGATGTCTCGTTGTATGATGGAGTTGTTCCTAACAGAGGAAGGGAGAAAATGTCAGTGAAGGTCGTGGGGGGGAGGAGAAGACTTTATATTGGCAGAAGGCAAGAAGAGGGATAATTGGGTGAGTCAACAATGTGATAGGTCCGATTGGGGGAAATTGCTAGGTAAGCTTGCGAGGACTCGCTCCTTGACCGGACAGAAAGAATTGCCTCAAGGTGGGATGGCATGGTGGGGTGATTCCCGCGCAAGCTTCCAGAGCTCCCAGCTGCCCTGGCAGCCCATGGCCAGTTGCAGTGGAGAACCGTATGATGTAAACGACTTACTTTTGAATTTTAGATGATGGAATCAAGAGATGTCCTCAGCAATTGTCTGCGTGTTGGAAATCGAGGTTAGAATGATGGGAGGAGAAGTGACGGTGACAGACGAGGAGGGGGAAAAAGACAAGGCCAGACGGTGGGAGTATGTGTTTTGGAGGGGTCCTTTCCCTTGCCTAACCCCACCCGAGGTGAGGACCGTGAGGTACCTAGCTGAGGTAGTATCATAGGTAGCCACTTGTTACTTAAGTTAGGTGCCCCGGTGCGCCTGTTGTTGCTCGCACCTTCCAATCTTTTGGTGGGGTAGACATCCAGAGGCGCCATCCAATCGCTCTTTCTCGAGGTGAGGCGGGGCATCTGCCCTGTTAGAGCGCTACATGGATGCCAACCTCCAAACAAGCTAAGAATATCACAAAACAGCTTCGTTTCAAAGTACTTGTCTTAGCACCGCCTCATCCACGACAAAAGCTGGACGAGCTATGTCCCGCGGTCTTGGTCTTGGTGAGGGCCACCGCTTCTCAACAAACCGAGCAATGAAAATACTGCCCTTGCGACCCTGGGTTAAATTCAGACACACGTTTCTGTCGTTGCCTCTCTTCATTGGGCCGCTCTTCTATTTCCGTACTCCCAGCCCCCGAGTCCGAGACTTTTGACTCTCCCCCGTGTGATTCAGGTCGAAACCCTCGGCCCTGGGCAAAACAAACGCCGTTGCCATGTCTTGGCTGTCTGCTTTTTATTTAGGTCATATCATAATGTGATTGGCCAGCCACACCGGCCTGCTTCCACACAACGACTCTCCAACCATTGTCCGTTGACGGGTTCGAGTGGACTCTGGCTGGGCTAAATGCGTCAAAGTGCGTCCTCGACAATCTACAAGTCCCGGCGTCCCGATCTTGAAGAATGTTTTTTCCCCTGCACCCCGGTTCAACAACGAACTGCTCATTGGCAATTGAGATCAGAGAATGACATTCTTACCCCACTAGAGGTATGGGAGAAGCAGCCTGTCATGGATTATCCCGAGGATGTTACTCGGAATAGCCAGGTGCTAATGCGGTTCTTCCCGATCATGGATCCCGACCCCGTCACCCCGTCCAGCAAAGCCGGGGTAGAATTAAGGCTGGTAAGTCATTCTGTATGTAATAGAGCGCCATGTAGCTCTTGCTCCGGGGCTCGGTGCAAATGACGTGTCTTGTGGTCCCAGGCACCGGCTCTGAGCTTGGAGCTTGAGAGCCAGTCGGCCGGCCAGTTCTAGCTGAAGATTCCCACTTCCGCATCTCTGTCCGCTTTTGCCCGAGTTTTCGGGGACTCACCTATCGAGTTCCTTGATCAACCAGATAGGATGTCGAATCATCTGTTCCATCTTCTGGCCTGCAAATTCTCCAATTATGCCCGCAGTCGTTAGTTTCAGCTTCCTCTGTTTTGGAGGGGGAATTGGATTTGGGCGATTTCACTGCAAGAAGCATGGTTTGACGATCCGACCTACTTCTCTTGAGGCTCGGAGTAATGTTGGCTGGTAACGACCTGGGTACTTTCCCTCAGAATGCCCTGCGAAGTGAGAAAAGCAGATGCTATGCTTCTTGTGCTTCTTCTACACTGGAGAATTGAAACGTAAAGCACTTAATATGATGGGCGCCTTCGATGCCAAGCTCAACAAGTACTGATCGCCAATTGTCTGGTGCTTCGGTCAAGGATATCAGTGATTGGACAGAAAGCTCGGAGCTCCGGAAGCTCATCCTCTTAGTTGTGCGTGCAGATAAGTACGAGAAGCCTAGGTACCTTCTATGTATAGTGCGGTAGAAGTGGAAACATTCGCATTTGCTTTGAGCCCTTATACTATACTACACTCTCGGGAGCTTCGGTGTAACGATAGTGGCCACAACGGATCTAAGGTGAACTGTCTCAGCTTCCGTAGATAATCCGTTCATACGGTCTTGGGCCGGCCGTCTGGCAACTAGGTAGGTATGTAGGTAGGCGGCTTGAGAAACGCACGGGACGGCAGTGGGCCGGTTCGGGTAGAAATGGCTTGGCGTGGGCCCGGTGGCACAGCGTGGACGGTGACAGGATAGCGAAAGACGGTGACCTGAGGCAGAAGATGTGGAGAGAGTTTTTCTCCGTCTCGGCGGCCTGCACGGCCTGCGTCGGCGGCCTTGCAATGCTGAGACTGGAGCATTGCTTTGAACCGGAAGCCCCCTCAGTACAAACAGAGTACCTTGCCTTGCCCTTACTGATACCTAATACCTACCACTGGACCCCGCGCCTGCGTTGCCTTCCTTAGACGTGCATAGCGCGTAGCAACAACAGCTGGGCGCCTAGACGCAGACTGACCGCTTTCGTTCCCTTGTGGCTTTGCCCCCCCGCCCCCTCCTTCAATGGCTTTCCGTTTCGCTACAAAACGTACGGTCGACCTGACCTCACGCATCATCAACCCAGCAAGGAGACCTGTTGCGCGCATGTACGTGTTATCCGTCGCCCCGACACAACAGCTGCTTCCCAGTTTTTCTTGAAGACGGAGATCCATGGCTGACCAAATATCCCAGTCCTTACCAATTACGAAAATACAACGTCTTCGCAACCCAGACCTCTGCGCCCCGAGCTACCCCTCCCCGACGAAACATCCGAATACAGAACCCCCAGCGCATCGCTGCTACACGACACTGCTCCTTCAAAAGAAACATGTGCAAACACGGAGAAGCCGCTGGCGGCGGCACGCTAAACTACCCGCGCGAACTGCTGCCTACCAACGTTGTCCCGCGCCACTATGATCTCACTCTCGAGCCCAACTTCGAGACGCTCAAGTTCGACGGTTTGATTAAGATTGACTTCGAAGTTGCTGAGGACTCCAGCACGATTTCCCTGAACACCCATGAGATCGAGATCAAGCATGCCTCATTGTCTCTGTCGGCTGCCGGCCAGCAAAAGAGCCTTAACGATCCCGTCATCACCTACGATGAGCCGAAGCAGGTCCACAGTTTCGACTTCAAGGATAAATTGATCAAGGGCGAAAAGGGCACTCTTGAGATCAAGTTTGTGGGTGAATTGAACGACAAAATGGCCGGTTTCTACCGCTCATACTACAATAAGCCGGATGGCACCAAGGGCATCATGGCCACCAGTCAGATGGAACCCACCGATGCCCGCAGAGCGTTCCCCTGCTTCGACGAGCCGGCTCTCAAGGCGGAGTTCACTGTTACTCTCATCGCTGATAAGGCCTTGACCTGCCTTTCCAACATGGATGTGGCTGAAGAGAAGGAGCTGCCTTCTGGAAAGAAGGCCGTCCGGTTCAACAAGTCACCCGTCATGTCGACGTACCTTGTGGCGTTCATCGTCGGAGAGCTCAACTACATCGAGACGAACGACTTCAGAGTGCCCATTCGAGTCTACGCCCCGCCTTCTGAGGATATCGAGAGAGGTCGGTACGCCTTGGACATCGCCGTCAAGGCTTTGGAGTTCTACGAGAAGGCCTTTGGTCTCCCCTACCCCTTGCCTAAGCTCGATCAAGTCGCTATTCCCGATTTCGCCGCTGGTGCTATGGAGAATTGGGGTCTAGTTACCTATCGTACTGTCGAGGTCTTGTTTGACGACAAAACCAGCGGTGCCGCGGCCAAGGAGCGAGTCTCGACGGTTATTACCCATGAGATCGCTCATCAGTGGTTTGGAAACATTGTCTCTCCGGACTGGTGGCACGCCCTCTGGCTCAACGAAGGTTTCGCCGAGTTTGCTTCTCGGTACTCTATGAACGCTTTCTTTCCTGAATGGAAGCTCAGGGAATCTTTCGTTCGTGAGGACCTTCAGGCGGCTTTGGGCCTCGACGGTCTGAGAAGCAGTCACCCTATCGAGGTTCCCGTGCACAAGGCTGAAGAGATCAACGAAATATTCGATAGCATCAGCTATGCCAAGGGTTCATGTGTCGTACATATGATCTCCGCGTACCTCGGAGAGGAAGTCTTCATGGAGGGCGTCCGGAAATACCTCAAGCGTCATGCTTGGGGCAACGCCACTACAAATGACCTGTGGCAAGCGTTAAGCGAGGCTAGCGGCAAGGATGTCGGGTCTATCATGAACATCTGGACTCAGAACGTTGGATATCCGGTCGTCTCCGTCACAGAGTCCGGCAAGTCGATCAGCGTGGAGCAGCACCGCTTCTTGACGACGGGGGACGTCAAGCCTGAGGAAGACAAGGTTCTTTATCCCATCTCCCTGAACGTTCGTACGAAGAGCGGTATCAACAAGGATCTCATGCTCACGACGCGTGATGCCAAATTCGAGATTGACGATGCCGAGTTCTTCAAGATCAATGCCGACTCTACCGGGTTTTACCGGACCAAGTACGCCATTGACCGACTTGAGAAGCTCGGAAACGCCGCTGGGATGCTCTCCGTCCAGGACAGAGTTGGTATCGTGGCTGACACATCAGCTCTTGCAACTTCGGGCTACCAGAAGACCTCATCCTCTCTGAGCCTGTTCAAGGCTCTTAGCAATGCGGGCGAAGCCGAGTATCTTGTGTGGGACCAGATTTTGACCCGTTTGGGCTCGATCAAGATGGCTTGGATTGAGGATGATGCCATCGTCGAGAAGTTGACCGAGTTTCAACGGAACATCGTTAGTGGCATCGCCCACAAGCTTGGCTGGGAGTTCTCCAGCAAGGATGGTCACGTTGAACAACAATACAAGGCCCTCACATTTAGTGCA